CCACCACCACCATGGCTGCCATACATTTCCACTTGGAACCTCGAGAGAACTGCTCATTCTTCATGTACTGCTCGAACATTTTCAACCATCTTCGATTGAAATTTCGGAATGGCTTCGGGAAGCATGTGCAGGTGGGCCATTCATCAGTCGATCCTCTGAATTACTTCTGGTAAGACCCTTCAAATTGTTTGAAAGTTTCCACTTGTATGATGATTCTAAGATGATCATTCAATAGTTTTGAGCTTTGTTAAAAAAGTGTATAAAGGTCAAAAATAATAGCCAGCCTATATATACCCCCACCTATCCCATTAGCCACTCGAAGAAAAGTCCATCCATATCTTATTTTCTGAGAGAGAACTACCTCAACTTTCAAGCCACTCCTTTGAGCTCTAATATCTTCCTCCATGCTTTCCACTCCTACCTCTCCGGCCAAAGGTTCATCTAGAGAGTGTTGTGAGTGTAAATCATTTGTCAATGTGTATATAATCCTCAAACGGTATTCTAAAGTGGCCATGGATATCTTTTTTATGGATTTTTTTTAATTTTACAAAGTTAAATAAATGGAGGATCTATTTTTATGTGGGACTCATATTTGAGTAAATCTAATGCATTTATCTTCAGTGTGTGAATTGCCTTGTTGCATATCTTCATAGCATTTCCTATCTTTGCATAATTATATCTTTGGTGTACTTTGTTTAGCCAAGTTGATTTAGGTTCGAATTTGTGTAAAACATCTAATTATTTTTCATACTTAAAATTGGAGTTACACCATAATTATTTTTGAAACACTTACTCGCCCCTTAGGAAAAATCCAAGATCCTTTATTTTAGTCATGCGGTCATGTAAAACATGGCATAAAGTTTGCTCTTTCTAACCAATCACGAGCCTTATTTTGTTGCAACTATATAAATAACTCCCACATTTTTGCGGGAGATTTTATTATTTAGAGAAAGAAAACAGTGTGTGATTCTAAGGAGGTTAAGTTTACCATTGCAAATGGTGTGAACTGAATAGAATTATCTATGTGGTACTATTGATAAAAACAATCGAATGGGAAATCAGAGTCAGTATTAAAGGTGCATGTCTTTTATTTTTGGGTGGATGAAGAATCAAATTTTGTATTCAGTACTATTTTTCATGCTAGTGTAAGAATAAGAGATTTTCTTCCATGATAAGATGAAGGTTGCAACGTTCATATCTCATAGAATATGAATTCCATAACATCACTTAATAACCCTTTTGAGTACCATGAAAGGTTTTTTCAGTTGGTATAAACTACAACAATATTTGTATTTTTGCATTTGATAAATGGATTTATAAATCTAAAGTCCACAAAAAATATAATGCATCATCTATTGTCAAGATTGCGAATTTATTCTTATTCCATCTTCATGGAAATCATTTTCAAAATCAATTAGTTTATTATTGCTAAATCTGTTTTACTAAGTGAATTAGTGTCAAGAATTATTTAGTTTTCAACTACATATATGGATTATAATGTCTAAAGTTGGTATAAATATATGTAATATAAATATTGCATGTCAACCTTATTGTTTCTCCATCAAGTACAAACATTATCAACACTAGTATTATGGATGATGTCAAGAACATCACACTATTTAGGAGGTTGTTATAAACTAGGTGAAGACGAAGCTCTAAATTTTGTTCAACCATTCATGTGGTTGTGATTTGGAAATTTATTCCTATTCACAAGGTGTATCCCATCATCAAGTAGTTCAAGTCATAGTGATAAGAAATTTGATGTTGAAGCTAAATTTTCAATATATAAGATATTTGTATACATATTGTGCATTCCTCTTGGCCACCATTTTACAAAACCATGGAATTTGGATTTGGGAGTTATCTTGGCATATTGCCTTACCTTTTGGATAAATTGTGTTCCTAGGGTTCATAGTGGTTGAATAAGTTTGGTTGAACAATTTAAATATCTTGCATTTTTTGTGTCAGTGTGTTAATATGAATATTTGCCCCACGATGTTCTCTAGATGTTATTGTTTGAGTGATATTGCACAAAATTTGGGTCGTCATCCAACACTACAAAAAAAAATCGAAGATATTTGGATTTGCATCGAGATCAATTACCTTATTTATTTTTTCTAAACAAAAGTGTAGACAAACATCCTAGGGTGAGGTAGTTTTTGCACGGTACTTAGAAAAGAAACCTGGCACAGAAAAGATTGCTCTTTTTTTCGGTGGTTAAGCCATGTGGTGGTTGTTTCCATAGTCGGTGACCCCCGGCTAACGACCCCTGCAACCACCAAAGAACTCTAGCTTATAGCTTTATTCACATATGGGTTCACAATAGGCGGTCATATATCTATTTTTATTTCGCGGTTGGTTCCATGGGGGTTTTAGTGATAGAGAATGGTGGTTGTGCGTCATACTACTTTATTTCCTCTACGGGTAACATCTATAGAAGAAACATGTATTTCGTACAACCAGTCCTGCGGTTTTGATTTGGAAATTTACTTTTGTTTACAAGGTTTAACCCATCATCAGTTCAACTGGTATAAATAACAAATTTTATTTGAAGCTAAATTTTCAATAGATAAGATATTTGTATGCATTTTTGTGCATTCCTCATGGCCACCATTTTGATTTTGGAGTTATGTTGGCACACTGCCTTACCTTTCAGCCAAATAGTGCTCCTAGGCTTCATAGTGCATTGTTTTGGTGTTAAGTGTGTTAAAAAAATATTTGCCTCATGAGCTTCTTTAAATGATGTTATATGTGTTGTTTGATGAGTGACATTACATAGAATTTGGATCATCATGCAATACTAAAAACACTAGAATTTTTTTGATGATTAAGCCATGTGGTGCATGTTCCCATAGTCGGTGACCCATGGCAAACCACCCATGCTACCACTACAGAACTAGCCGATATAGCTTTATTCACATATGGGTTCACAATAGGTAGCCATGTATCTATTTTTCACGTTGGTTCCATAGGGTTTTTGATGATAGAGAGAATGGTGGTCGAGCGTCATACTACTTCATTTCCTCTACATGTACGTAACATCTATAGAAGAATCATGTACTACTTTTTATTTGTGTGTCTTATTTATTTCAGATTATAGTTCGAAGAAAAAAATGAGGAGTATGTGTCAGTCCACATGTTACAGTTAAGCATCCATGTAAGAGCAAACTACTCGTTTAGGAAAATATGCTAAGATTCCATCACACTTTACATAGCAAACTATTTTGAAACGGTTATTAAACTTAAAAGAAAAAAATGTTAGCAAACATACAACTTATCTAGATCTAACGAACCTTCATTGAAAAGCATGGTTACTTCAAATAGAAAATGGGGGGGGGGGGATAACATATAGCACGCAACCATATATGAGTCCACTAATTACATAAGGAAATAACAAAAAAATGATGCAAGCAAAGAAAGTTATATTCTTTCACATCCACAGAACAATTTTTCCAATCCTATGCTATTTTATTGATCTCTTATTTCTAAAAGTAAATAAACCGTAATGACTTTCTCCACTTGCGATAGAACCTCTGTGCTTTCATCCATTTTAGCGCTAGTAGAAATATTTGTCCCAAGATTCATAATCATGGGATGTCTGGCTAGCTGGGAAGATCAACTTTGTAACCTTTTCTTCCTTTCTATACTATGGAACTTCATGTGACCACCATAGGCTTGATATGAGTTGAACTTGCGATCACAAATCTTGCATTTGTACTTACGTAAGCTCGTAGAATCATGCACAATAACACTTTCGGTAACGACATTTGGGCCACCTATATGAGTCTTGTCTTCTCTGAGGCCATGTGGGGATGCCATGAATGGAGCTAGAGGGGTAGGTACACCATCAGTAGCATCATGGGTTAGCACTCCATGTGGTATATTTTGTTGCTCCTGAATAGTAATTGGTGTGAAGGGGTGACAAAATTTAGGAAAAATAAATAAATTGTGATGGTAGTGAGTTTACCTCGGTGACATGGGTGGTGGGGATCCCAAAGATTGGACCATCATCTGTTGCTCCAATAGTATTAAGGTGGGCATGAACAACGGCAACGGGATCTCCTTGGAGTAAGGATGTGACTGATGGAGACTCCATGGACAATATCCTCCTTAGATCTGATGAACCAAAGTAGTTCCTAATAGGATTTGACAAGAAAGCTTGGTACGATAACATTTCTCGCTGGTTCTCAATGATTTCCCTATGGTTGGGATTAGAATTATGGGTGTTGGCCATGGATAAAGGAGTAATTTGTGCATCAGGCAAGTTTGGTGGTAGTGCTGATAGGGCTACATTGGATTCACTTTCAGTGGATCTGACTTTGTTAGGATAGGAGCCATTAGGATCCATAGCTCCTAGGAAAATCAAGAACTTTCAGCAGAAAGGTGTGGAAATTAGGGATGCATCTGTAGCGATAGTGTTTATTCTGATGGGGGATGTTATGGGAAGTGATATTAGGTATATTTATAAGGATCTTGCATATATGTGAAACGAGGAGGGCCTCATGCATTATTCAATTGTGTCATTAACTAGAAGATTTGCATTTTAATCGCTACTATTCATACAATATCTAGGAGATATGGGTGATAAATTTGTCTAATAATTAATGATATCCTCTAGGATATCTTATTGGTAAACTAATACTTGCCATCTTTGGCATAAAATTTGGCAGTAATTCATCTGCAAATAAGTGTTGAATGATTTATGGTATTATTATAGAAACATAAGTCACTCGATCTTGGAAGAAGGAAAACATATCACCAATGTTGATACGAAATTGTATGTTCTTCTTAAACAAGTGATGATTGTGTCAGTTTATTGTCTCAACTTTCAAAATAATGTTTTTATTCAACTTCCTTAGGCTTGCACCCTGGGTCCAAGCTACTATTTGCTTCTTTCTTTTTTTGCTTCTTTTCTTCAAAAAGGAGCAGATGAATTATTGCCAAATTTTATGCCAAAGATGGCAAGTATTAGTTTACCAGTTAATAAGATAAATCCTAGAGGATACCATTAATTATTAGACAAATTTGTCAGCCATATCTCCTAGATATTGCATGAATAGTAACGATTAAAAGGAGAATAATGGATCCTGGAGGGGTGGGGGAGAGAGAGAGAGAGAGCAAGAAATATATATTTTTTTCTTCATTTATTTCTTTTTCTAAATATCTACTTTAGATATACAACTATACCGCCTTATTACGAGAAGGTCGTTGTAATAACTGGAATATATTGGGAATTCATGGAAACTTCAAGCTATGTTAGTATTATGTTACCAGATAGCTACATAATGCATTTGTCACTTCCTCTGTGTCCCAAGCATGCTATTATCTCACGTACATCACCATGGCTTGAAGTCCCTCCATGTTACAATTTGTTGTAGCGGTCGAAAAAATTAGAGAGGGTTGGAAAGGGTGGATACTGAGAGTAACAAGCAGGTGAATGAATAATTAATTATTATTATTTTAGAAAAGGAGGATGACCCTGGCCTTTGCATCTAGAAGATGCATGCAGCCACTTTATTAATTATTTACAAAGACCTTACAAAGTAATACATCAATATATCTGAAGGCGATATCTTGACAACATCTGTCGCTACTCTTATTCATTGATGAAGGGGTGCAGGAAGTGTGAGCCGTATAGCCAGACTTCTCAATAATTAATTGTTATGATGACACATGGGATGATGCACTCCCATTGTATAATGTTGTGTTGATGGAATATTCACACAAAGAAAGTGGTGTGAGAGAAATGTGTGTGCAGGAAGGCAATGCCAATAGTAAGATAGATAAAAGTACTATGCCATCTTCTTTACTCCCTCCGATCCATATTACTTGTCGCTCAAACGGATATATCTAAACATATTTTAGTGTTAGATACATCTATTTGAGCGACAAGTAATACAGATTGAAGGGGGTATTTCTTTTGTCATACCATTTTATCTAGGTCAACATCCACGATGCAGTGTCCTTGATATCTACTATATATAAATAGGAGCCCCTCACCATCTAATTTTCGTGGCTTCTGGTGCCACGTCATCACTAATTTCTTGCGCTGATGTGCGCGTTTTCTCGGTAGCCTAGCCTAGCTTTGCTGGTGTATTTAGAGCAAGTACAATAGAGCTGAGTCAGCTGGCTATAAGAAATAAACTAGTATATTCTTGCTTAGTTGGAGGAAAGAGAAGAAGAGAGAGAAGGGAAGCGGGCTCTTGGTGAAGAGCCAGCTCTAGCACGTGCTCCTAGGCACTTTGTGAGAGTGAAAGGTGGGCCATATAATAAAAAAGTAGTACACTCTTCTAATCAACTATTGTACATATTGGCTATAAGATGGGCTATAGATGACATAGCAATGGCTTATAGCCAGCAGTTGGCTATACTATTAACCATGCTCTTAGCCCACCTAATTATTGCAGTATGTCACAGAGGATCGCACTATGTCGGGCAAGGTTATCTCATCTTCCCTGCATCGAATCCCACTAGAAACCATTGTCGTTTCGTCTGCCCACCAGTGCCTCCTACATCCTCTCCATCCCGTTGTCGATAGTTCAACGGGTAGAACCACACCTTTCTCCAAGTCGCCTACTCTTGCCCGGGGGGCGCCATGGGTCAGCGTTATTCCATCCAGATATCCTATTCCTGCCGCCGCTACCTCCACGGGTCAGCGTTGTTCCACCATGATCACTCCTTGATGAATTCCTCTCAATTTTCTTATATTTTTCTTTGATTCGTGGCCTCGTGTTTAGTTTCTTGCTCCTCCATTATTTCATGGGATGTCTCCCCGAAGAAAGCGGCGAGCTCCCGCCGAGTGCCGTGTCGTCGCCAGTGTGTAAAACAAAGTATTTTGGGAACTGCACGACACCCTTAACCCGGGGTGTGGCTATCTCATTATATAGAGGTACCCAAGGGGTACAATACAATGTTACAATACAGATATACAGAGGCTACGTATATACAGTCTAACACCCTCCCTCAATCTTAACTATGTCCTGAAGTATAGAGCAAGTTAAGATTGCGCCTACATCCTACAAACTGTGGTTGTGGTAGAGGCTTCGTGAAGATGTCAGCAAGTTGATCCTTTGATGAGATGAACTTGATACAGAGTAGCTTCTGTGCAACACGTTCCCGAACAAAGTGATAATCCACCTCAATGTGTTTTGTCCTCGCATGAAACACTGGATTAGAAGAAAGATATGTAGCACCAATGTTGTCACACCACAGGACCGGAGGACGAGCTTCAGGAACATGCAACTCTCTCAACAGAGACTGTAACCATATGATCTTAGCAGTTGCATCAGCAACAGCTTTGTATTCAGCCTCAGTACTACTGCGAGACACAGTTGCTTGCTTGCGAGCATTCCAGGCGATCAAGTTAGGACCCAGAAATACCGCATAACCCCCCGTGGATCGCATGTCATCCGGACTACCAGCCCAGTCGGCATCAGAGAAGGCCGAGAGCTCATACGACGGTGCAGGCTAAAGATACAGACCATAGGCAGCAGTAATACTGACATAGCGCAAAATACGCTTCACAGCTGACCAGTGAGACGTCCTGGGTGCATGCAAAAACTGACAGACACGGTTAACTGCATAGGAGATATCAGGCCTGGTAATAGTGAGATATTGCAGACCACCAATGATACTGCGATACTCAGTAGCATCATCAGACGAGAGAGAGTCACCATCAAGGGCAGACAACTGATCAGTAGCAGACATCGGAGTGGAGACAGGTTTGCATTTGAGCATTCCAGCACGACGCAACAAGTCCAAGGAGTACTTCTTCTGAGTGAGAGTCAAACCAGCAGAGGACCGCGAAACCTCAAGACCAAGGAAAAAGTGAAGAGCACCCAAATCCTTGACAGCAAAATCATCACGGAGAGCAACCACAAGGCGATCAGCAGCAGCAGCAGAGGAACTGACAAGGATGATATCATCGACATAAACCAAGATATACATTGTAACCTCAGGGCGCTGGAGGAGAAACAGTGACGTATCAGCAGTGGAGGGAGTAAACCCAAGAGCCCGAAGAACAGATCCAAGGCGAGCATGCCATGCACGAGGAGCCTGTTTGAGTCCATACAGTGCCTTAACCAGACGACAGAGATGGTGAGGTCGTGTCAGATCAACAAAACCAGGCGGCTGACGCATATAAACCTCCTCCTCCAGAATGCCATGGAGAAAAGCGCTCTGCACATCAAGCTGACGAAGGAACCATCCACGAGTAACCGCAAGAGACAGTAGTAACCGAATGGTAGTAGGCTTGATGACTGGACTGAACGTGTCTTCATAATCAAGACCATACCTCTGCTTGAAGCCCTTGGTGACCAACCGTGCCTTGTAACGTTCAATGGAGCCATCAGCATGTTGCTTGACTTTGAAAACCCACTTGGAATCAATGATGTTTACGACAGACTTTGGAGGAACAAGACGCCAAGTATCATTCTGTTGGAGGGCATGAAACTCTTGTTCCATTGCAGCACGCCAATGAGGAATACTCAATGCAGCCTGAAAGTGACGAGGCTCTGCAGTAGGATCGCCGGCAGTGTGAGCCATGCACGCAGCAAGCCACGCAACCGTGCCATCCGTCCACTTCTTTGGGCGAAAAACACCGGACTGGCTCCGTGTGTGCGGCCGAAGTGTGACAGCAGAATCTGCCGGCAAAGATGGTGCAGCAGAGGACGTGGACGAGACCAGGGCCGAGTCCGACGAGTCGGGCTCATCAGTGGCCGAAGCAGGCGACGGGGCCGCCGGGCTAGCGGCAGCAGCAGCCGGCCCAGGAGACGCACCCACCAGTGGCCCGGGCGAGCCACGCAGGACTGGCGATGCCCGCGATCCAGGCGAGCCGGGCGAGACGGCCGCTGGTGTGGACGGGGCCCGCGAGCCGGGCGAGGCAGCCACTGGTGCAGGCAGAGTCCGCGAGCCAGAGGAGGCTGCTGGCGCTGGCGTGGGCGGGTCCAGCATGGAGCCAGACGGACCCGGCACCCGAGAGGCAGTCGGGATGGCCGCCTCAGGCGACAGGAGAACGGGTTGGCGGGTGCCACCCGTCATGCATGGCACATGTACGTCCCGACCAGGAGGATCATCTGCGACCTATTCATCAAGCAGCTCGAGCCGAGCACCGCGTCCAGTACCTGCAGCATGATTAGGGAGCAACGCAGGGGCATATGCAACATCCACAAACTGATCAGGCGTAGGTGTAGACACGGGCACTGGTGGTGTGGAAGTGGAAGTGGTAAGGTCAGTCGGAAGTGCACGAAAAGGAAATACATTTTCGTCAAACACAACGTCACAAGAGATGTAGACGCGGTTGGTAGGAACATGTAAGCACTTGTACCCTTTGTGAAGAGAACTGTACCC